TGGGGGCGGGAGGGCTCCCCTCGGGAGACGCCTGAGGGATGAGGGATGAAGAGAGCCTTCGTGCACCGCATCCAGCGGCACCCACACGAAGGCCCCGCTGCGCCCACGGCCGAAGGTCGGAAGTGGATTGTTCCGGTGGGAGTAAGGAGGCGGCCAGTGCAGGGTTGCCGGTGTTGTGGACACGTTCACCGCACAGGCGAGGACCCGAGCAGGCGGGGGTGGGGCTGGGCCCACCGGGGGTCAGAGGTGTTCGTGGGAGGCCTCGCAGAGGCTGGTAGCCACACGGCAGCGCCGCTGACCGGGCCGGAGGTGGAGGGAGAGGAGCTGATCGTGGTCAGGGGTTGAAGCGGGCCCTCGTGGAGTGCCCACGCCCGTCGGGAAGTCAGGAGGGAGTGGGGTGGGCTCCTGGCCAGGGCTCCAGAGGCGGGGAGCAGGGGAACCGGGGGAGTCTGTCAGTCTCCGATACGAGAGATGTCAGCTTCGGGGTGAAGAGGACTTTCCCGGAGAGACGCCTTGCCACGTCAGAGGCCTCAGGGGAGGCAGCTGGCCACGTGAAACCCCGCCTGTGGCGAGGCCAGCACCCCAGGGCGCCCACGAGAGGGCCTGGGTTCCGTGTGCATCCCTCTCCTCACTGCACAGACTCTGAGTTGTAAGCCGCGCACTCACATCTCTTAAACCTGACCTGAAGTACAGTGTCTGCTGTGCACACGCCTCCGCTGCGGACTTGAGCAACGACTGCCTCCTACCCCCAACTGGCGACAAATGGCGCGAGTGGCAGACTGACCCGGGCGCCGTGCACGTGGCAGCTGTCTCTAAGGGGCTGAAGTCACTCCCACATGGCGTCCAGCCCGGCCCTGTCTCTAAGGGCTGAAGTCAGAGCCCGGCCCTGTCTCTAAGGGCTGAAGTCACTCCCACACTGCGTCCAGCCCGGCCCTGTCTCTAGGGGCTGAAGTCACTCCCACACTGCGTCCAGCCCGGCCCTGTCTCTAGGGGCTGAAGTCACTCCCACACTGCGTCCAGCCCGGCCCTGTCTTGTCCGAAGGACTCGGGACCTGCGGGAGGGCTGCTGGGTTCAGTTCTGGCTCTGATGTTCTAGCTCATGGCCCCGGAGTTCCCGGTCATCTCTGGGCCTCTTTCCTCACCCGTGAAATGAGAGTAAGAACAGAACCTATACGTCACAGCATCATGACAGACTTTGAGAGCTCTGGGTAGAGCCTGGCACCAGCCAGCGGTCGGTGACCACACAGAGCGGCTGTACCCTGGCTGCTGGGGGCCCTGCAGCTGTCGAGCTGTTGGGGAGGGACATGGCTTCAGTATAACTGCCATTGCATCACAACCCGAGGTACCCGGCTCGGGGCAGCTCCAGAGCTGAAACGGAGTAGTAACTAAAACCGGGAAGAGCTGCGGGCGCGGCACGAATGACGGAGAAAAGATGTGAAGAAACCGGCGGAATCCAGGCCCTGAGCCTGCTCATTACCCCTGCACCCGCTCTGCCCAACAGGCGCTGCTTGCCCGTGACTGCACAAACCGTACTAGGAATCTGCAGTCCTAGCTTTTGGGAGGGACTGCCACGTGGGTGGGGGGAGCCAGAGGAGTTTGAAAGAGCAGTGAGGACCCACCCGAGCAGCTGAAACCTTACCTGCAGAGCGTTCTGGGCAGGTGTGCTCACGGGCGGCCTGGGTCCTCGGGGCTGAGTCCTTTTCCTGTGGGCTCGGCTGCGTGAGAAATGAGAAGTCCCAAGTGAGCTTTGCAAGAGCACGAACTTGAGCCCTAGCGACCGGACGTGGCTGCAGCGCTGTGCTGGCCGCTCTCCCGGGCCGGCGTCCTCCCTCACCTCCTGGGGGTGCACTCTGCCCCCACTCCTGAGGGCCCTTTTGCGGCTCTGGCCACCGCTGGGTCTCCTTTTCCGTGCTGCCAACACGTAACCTACCGTCCGCCCCACTCCTGCCACTCGGAAGCAAGGCCTGCACGCGCCTGCTCGTCCCTGTTACGTGTGAACGTCCACTGTCACCTGGAACTCCCCACGCCCGTGTCTCCTGACAGCCAGCAGAGAGCCTTACAAGGGTCAGCGGGTGACTGGCGGTAAACCTGGGAGGCCGCAGGGCATGTGGTGTAGCCCACAGGAGCCTTTCCGAACCTGCTACCCTGGTTCATCCAGTCTGCACAGAGAACAGGCGCGGGGACAGGACCCAGTCCTCACAGCTCCTTATTCATAGAAATGTGGAAATAGGTTTCTCCAGCAAAATCAGAAGTGTGTGCTTCAAAGGACATTACGAAAAACTGAAAAAACTCCTAAGAGTAGAAGAAAATATTTTCAAATCATACGTATTAAGGCACTTTTATCTTGGGTAAAGAACTACTAAAACTCAACAATAAAAATCCAATTAAAAACGGGAAAGGATCTTAATAGGCACTTCTTGAAAAAGATATACAAATGGCTAACAGCACGTGACAGGATGGTAAACATTCCTATTAATCAGAGAAATGCGAATCGAAACCAGCACGACCACCTTGTGCTCTCTAGGAAGGCAACAGAACCTCCTGAGGAGGATGTGGAAAAACCAGGACCAAGACAGAGTGCCGGCAGGAACAGAAAACTGCAGCAGCTCCTCAAAAGGTTAAACATAGGAGCCTGCATGTGGCGCAGTGGGCTGGAGCCCCGGCTGCTCCACTTCCAGTCCAGCTCCCTGTTAGTGCACCTGGGAAGGCAGCAGATGACCCAGGTGCTTGGGCCCTGCCACCCGTGTGGGAGACCTGGATGCAGCTCCAGGCTCCTGGCTTCAGCCTGGCCCAGCCCCAGCCATTGTGGCCATTTGGGAAGTAAATGAGTGTTACTCTTCCAGTCAAATGGATAAATACATCTTTAAAAAATAAAGTTGAACACAGAGAGATACCCTATGACCTAGCAATGTTGCCCCTAGATACATATCCAGAGAATATAGACACAGGCCCCATAACAGCGTTCATGGCAGTATTACTTGTATTAGCTGAAAAGTAGGAAAAATTCAAGTGTTCAACAACTGATGAATGGATAAATAAAATGTGAGATACTCATATAATGGAACATGATGCAGTCACAGGAATGGATGTAGGGCTATTATATAATATGTACCTTGGAAGCATGTTAAATGCAGGAAGCCACATACTACATGGTTTCATTTTTACAAAATATTCAGAATGGCCGGCGCCGCAGCTCACTAGGCTAATCCTCCGCCTAGCGGCGCCGGCACACCAGGTTCTAGTCCCGGTCGGGGCGCCGGATTCTGTCCCGGTTGCCCCTCTTCCAGTCCAGCTTTCTGCTGTGGCCAGGGAGTGCAGTGGAGGATGGCCCAGGTGCTTGGGCCCTGCACCCCATGGGAGACCAGGAAAAGCACCTGGCTCCTGGCTCCTGCCATCGGATCAGCGCGGTGTGCCGGCCGCAGCGCGCCGGCCTCGGCGGCCATTGGAGGGTGAACCAACGGCAAAGGAAGACCTTTCTCTCTCTCTCTCTCACTGTCCACTCTGCCTGTCAAAAAAAAAAAAATTCAGAATAAGCAAAGCCAGAGATACAGAAAGTAGATTAGTAGTGGCCAGGGGTGGGAGGCGGAGGGGCGCTGGAGCTAACTGTTAATGGTGTTGTTTTCCTTTGGTGTGATGGACGTGTTCTAGAACTAAGTGATGGTAGCTGCATGACACGGTGAATTTGCTGACAACCACTGAACTGGACACTTCAAAATGGACAATTTTACAGTGTATAAATTGTATCTCATGTATTCTACCATGTATTGTTTACTAAAACAAGTTTCAATTTCTACATTCTAACTAACACTGAAGGGGCAGGCACCTTAAGGGTATGAAGGAAAACAGTATTAGGAAACTTCCCAACTTTTTTTGATAAAGCATTTTAAAATTTATTCATTTGAAATGCAGAGCAAAAGAGGGAAACAGAAATCTTCCATCTGCTGGTTCACTCTCCAATGCCTACAACAGTCAGGGCTGGGCCGGCGGGAGCCAGAATCCGGGAACTCCACCCAGGTTGCCCAGATGGGTGGCAGAAACCCAAGTACTTGGGCCATCATCTGCTGCCTCCCAGTGTGTGTGTTAGCAGGACGCTGGACCGGAAGTGGAGGTGTGTGTTTATCCCAGGCACTCTGATACGGGATGCAGGCATCCCAAGCAATGGGTAACTTGGTGTGCTACAACGCTTACCCTCAATTTTTAAAAATTCACTCTAATCTGAAAATTCTCAATAGATACACCTTTCTCCTATCCTTGGTCTTGCCAAGGAACGAGCCGCATTGGGATATAAGCTCTGAGCCTCAGAGGACTTCCCCTTCATTCGCATCTGGGCCCAGAAGAGACAGCCCCGTGCTCAGGATGCACCTCCTTGGAGCCCACCCTCACCCCCCAGGAAACAACGCCCTTCCTGGGCAGCCGCCGCCCTGTTGCAGCTTCAGCTCAGTTCCACCCTCGTCTGTAACACCAAGCCCACTCTGGTCCAGTACTCAGGCTGGAATCCATGCTCACATGGCCTTTCCCAGAATGCTTTCTATAAAATGCTAAACATGTTTCCCCTTACTTCTTCCATTTCTCCGCGAACACTATGGGTGGTGTGCTGTTCCACCTTCCTGTTTGGAAATGGAAACAGGAACTGGCCCAGAGCTGGAAGAATCTTGACTCTCCATCCTCAATCTTGTAGTTCTTCGCTGAAACCACTGGGTGTCTCTCTTAAGCCACTAACAAGTCAGCTATCTCTGAATGGCCATTACCACAGGAAACATGGGCCCTCCTGGATGGCCCCAATCTCTCTCAGTCCCTGGACTCACCTTCCAGTCCTGCATGGTAGCAGTGTTAGGCTCAGGAGCCAGGAGGTCTCAATACACATCCTCAGCTGTGAAACTATGATCTCACTAGAAACATCTTTACAGACATTAATGTGCAAACCCTTGCACAGGTCGGGGACTTCCTCCCAAGACCTGTTACCTCTGGTGAGACCCTGAGGTCGTGAGCCATCTGCCAAGTGAGCTCGGCTATGGATAGCCCTGGAGCTGTCGGCCATCACTGCAGCCAGGGAACTGGGTGAAAGAGGTCACATCCTTATCTTTGAGATCTCACTGGGATATCAGAGAAGCCCAAGCAAAGAACTTCACAGGCTGAAGAGCCCTAGGCCCTGGGTCCTACAATGGTCCGTGACCTACCCTAAACCTACCCCAGAAAGCTGAAGATGTGGATAGCTGCAGTACTCCCACCATGTCCAAGTTACAGCCCCAGAACCTGTGACTGTAAGCTTATCTGGGAAAAGGGTCTTTGTGGATATAATGAGCAATCCTGAGATTGGATCATCCTGGACTTGGGGTGAGCCTCAAGTCCAATGACAGATGTCCTTAAAACGCAGAGGGAGATTTGAAAGATACATGGGGAAAGGCTAAAGATGGAGGTACAGACTGGAATTACACAAACCGCAGCCCAAGGAACACTTCCCACCAGAAGCCGGAAGAGGCCAGGAAGGGTTTTCCCCCCCCACCCTTGGGGAAACGTGGCCCTGCCAACACCCTGGTTTTGGACTTGTGGACTTCAGAGAATAAATGTGAGAGAATAAGTGTGTTGTTTTTGAGTCATCATGATGATGGCAGTTTCTTACAGAATCCCTAGGGGACTGACACGATGAGTCTTGGCTTTATTTGCTCAAGGTCTGGGCAGCAGCCCTCCAAGTTCAAGGGAAACTGGCCAGAGTATTTGCAGGGAACCAGGTGAAAGGAACAGCAGACACAATCCAAGGAAAAAGCGCCGTAGAAGGGACACAGAGCCATGAAAAAAGGTGTGGTCAAGGGTGCACTTACAAGCAGGTGTCCGCTGGCCTTGCCTTTTGGGCTACACCCAAGAGGAGGATGGCAAATCCACGGGATGCCACGATCCTTGGGTGCCAAGACACCAAAACTTGCTCATCCAATCAGGCAGTAGAGATAGGAGGAGAAAAGATGTAGAGGAGGTGCTGCAGACTGTTAGTCTCTCAGACACGGGCGCATAATTCTTTAATAACAACTCTATTGCTATATAACTGGCAAGCTGTGTGTGTGTGCTTGTGTGTGTAAATAAAGTGCAGACTTCAGTTCTGACATACGTACATACTTGTGAAACATCACCACATCAAGATAAACTTCCATCTGCTGGTTCACGCTCCAAATGCCTACAGCAGGACTCAAACCAGCGCCCATATGAGATGCCAGCATCACAGGCAGTGGCTTTACCTGCTGTGCCACAGCGCCGGCCCTGCGCATCTTTTTCTCTCCTTAAGACTCGTTTTATGGGGGCTGGCAATGTGACACAGTGGGTTCAGCCTCTGCCTGCAATGATGGCTGGCATCCCATGAGTGCCAGTTTGAGTCCTGGTTGTTCCACTTTGGATCCAGCTTCCTGCTAATGCACCTGGGGAAACAGTGGAAGACGGACCAAGTACTTGGGCCCCTGCCACCCATGTGGGAGATCCAACAGGGTTCCAGGCTCTTGGCTTCAGCCTGGCTCGGACCTGGCTGTTGTGACCATTTGAGGAGTGAATCAGTAGTTGCAGACTCTCTGTCAACCTGTCTTTAATTCTGACTTTCAAATACATAAATATAACATATATAAAACATTTTAAAAAAATCTTCTTTTATATTGAAAGTGGAATTCTTGAAGATTGAATGTAGTTGGCTCTTGTCTCCTTATCCAATCTAACAACCTCTGCTTTTTAATTGAATTGTTTAGACCACTTAAACTTATTGTCATAATTGATATGGCAGGGTTCAAATATATCATTTTGATAACTGTTTCCTATTTGTATTATCTTTTCTTCTTTTTCCTTATTTTTCTGTCATTTTTTAGGTTGAGTTTTTTATGATTCCATTTTATCTTCTTTCTTGGCTTATTAGGTATAACTCTTGTGTTACTTTATTTTTTTTTAATTTTTTTTTTATTTTTTGACAGGCAGAGTTAGACAGTGAGAGAGAGAGAGAGAGAGAGAGAGAGAGAGAGAGAAAGGGAAAGGTCTTCCTTTTTCCATTGGTTCACCCCCCAAGTGGCCGCTACGGCCGTCGCATTGCGGCCAGCGCACTGTGCCAATCCAAAGCCAGGAGCCAGGTGCTTCCTCCTGGTCTCCCATGGGGTGCAGGGCCCAAGCACTTGGGCCATCCTCCACTGCACTCCCGGGCCACAGCAGAGAGCTGGACTGGAAAAGGAGCAACCAGGACAGAATCCAGTGCCCCAACTGGGACTAGAACCCTGGGTGCTGGCGCTGCAGGTAGAGGATTAGCCTAGGGAGCTGCGGCACCAGCCTCTTGTGTTACTTTAAATGTCCATCTTTCACTTATTAGTCTACTTTCAAGTAATATCACTCTACATATATAAGATCTTAAAAGAGGAGCCAGTGCTGTGGCGTAGCAGGCTAGGCCTCTGTCTGCAGTGCCAGTTCTAGTCCCTGTTGTTCCTCTTCTGATCCAGCTCTCTGCTATGGTCTGGGAAAGCAGAAGATGGCCCAAGTGCTTGGGCCCCTGAACCTGCATGAGAGACCTGGAAAAAGCTCCTGGCTTTGGTTCAGCACAGCCCTGGTCGTTGTGGCCATTTGGGGAGTGAACCAGTGGATGGAAGACCTAACTCTCTGTCTCTCCCTCTCTCTGTCTATAACTCGCTCTACCTCTCAAATAAATAAATAAAATCTTTTAAAAAAAATCTTAAAAGAATATTATTTCCATTTCTTTGTTCTTTGTGTTATTGTTTCATAAATTTTACTTCTACGTAGGACATG